GACTCATGCTTTCCATAACCGCGTACCAACATGTGTTAGCTCAGCAAAATACACTCGTTTCAGCAACCTTATGAGTAGCGCATTACAAATATATATGTATCGCAATATGTCGAATATCGAAGCGACGAAAACATGGAGCAGACTGGTGCAGCACATTCAGTTGCCCGGAAGCATCACAAACGAGAGAGTCAGCTGAGTTCCAGGTGAGTCTCTCAAAGAACCAAACTTGTTTGCAAATGAGTGTATTTCGCTAACTTCGTGAAATTTGGGGACTGCGCCTAACTCATGAGCCCCAAGAAGGACGAAACGGGTCTTGGGCTGTCGACGAATTTCCAGAAACCTTATGAGTAGTGCATTACGAATACATTCAAAGCTAGCTTTTAGGAGAAAAATCCGCCATTGGTTATACTTTGTTATACATATACTGATTTTGCAATAAGTGTTCCGTACTTTCACATGACAGCAACCAGGTGGGCCCAATCTACACGTTCGAGTATGTTGGACGAAAGTGGAATGCACACAAAACCTCGAGCTGTGAGTGCTCCAGGCTCCATCCGAGGAGCACAGCCGAAAATCAGGTCAAGAGTGATTCGGCCTAGGAATAAACAAGCAGCAGACTTTCAGGTCCGCTGGTGCGCTTCATTACCCACAAGATGCCCCCAAAAAATCACGAAAGTCTCTCTTTTAAATCCCCAAGTTTTACTTGAAGCCAAATGATGAGTTGTCAGGGAACAATTTCAAGTTACAGTATGTATTTCCAATGATCAAATTAGTGACAAGAAAAGTCAGAAAAAACTATCCTTCTCTGGTCATTGGTATGGCCGCCCTTTCGAAGAAACCTTCAATCATTTTTCGGTCAACCGTTGCGAAATAATTTGCGGCAGACTTAGCCGCAATTCACCCAAACGGTTCAGGTGAAGTTTAGCTTAGTCTTTCGTTAACACCAAATCAACCTGACAAGTGATCCTTTATCTCAAATTACGCACAACTTGGTTTGGGAGCAAGGAGTGAAGGTCATCGAGATTCATTTCCTAAACCTACCTGGATCGCACCAGAAAAGGTGAAACTACTCGTGGACTCCACATAGTTTTGTCGACCCTGTGGCCCCTGAATATCGTTCCAAGGGATAGATAAGGTGACCTTGTACAGCATATTCAGTTATTAATGAGAGATTTAGCTGGGATCCTGGTGAGCGAGCCGTTAATAAACAAACTGGTAGGGAAATAAGTGCATTGTTGACACAATTCCTGCGATTTGAGTTCAAATAAACCATATACTTGACAGAAACTCAACGACTGCGCCTACTCGATGAGTTCCAAGAAGGGTGAAACCCGTCATGGGTTGCCGAAGTATTTTCAGCAACCTCGTGAGTAGTTTTCATCACTAAAATTCCTACTTGCTCACCTTACTCGTTGCACTTTTGCGAACGTTTGCATTTAGCCACATGCGCGCAATTCCATATCCCATCAAAATCTTAGTTTGAAAAAAGCTGGAAGAGTATGTATAAACGGCTCATCGCTGACCTCAGAAGTAATCATGAAACCTTCGCTTGACGCCATTCATCGTGAACGTCTAACCGAGTTTACATTCCAGATTCGGCACTTTTTACGAGAAACGTCGGATTCTGCAAAAACATGTTACCGGGCTACCATTAATTCCGAAATCACGCAGTGCTAAGCATCTTGCAATCTCCCAGTGAATACCATCGATATCTGTATCCTTGAGACACTTTTTGGGTATCCATGTTGCCATAAAGTAACTATCGGGTCCCTCCTGAAGGCCGAGGATTAGCTCGATAACCAGCACCATCGGTGAACTCCCAGTTAATGCAGAGGCAAAAAAAATTACTATCTGTGTCTATTTGGTGGACAGGTGTTCCTGATGTGAACCAATTGTATCCCTGATCCCAGTTGCCAGGCTCTCACGTGGCCGAAGTTTCTAGTGACATATTCGGTCACTAAGTTTTCTCGAATCTTCTCATTGATATCACGAGTTGAATGTTCCCAAATACTTCACATGAAAAGACTCGTTTGTGATTGATAATGCGTTTAACCATGTCTTCAGACTGCTAGTCTGTTTGATAACTAACTCATTTCTGTCAACTCTGGAAGAGATAGCTCGTTTTCTTGTAAGTATATGACAGTTTTCGGCTCTCCAATTGATTGACTGAGCGCTGATTGTTTTATTTCAGTGCCTCTAAGGTTCTATAATCAGCAAAGCAGTAAAAGTTAGTTTCGCCCTCTATGGAGACGCTGGGGTTAAAACCACAGATCTGCATGACTCGTGTTTATACTAATCGATTTATCGATCGAATGACTATCACGCTACCATGTCCTGCCTGTACTTCTGTCTTTTTAGCGGGCACAACGCTGAGTTTTGGAGCGGAAAAATATGACACCCAAATGCCGATTTTGCAGACCAGCCTGTTCAAAAGTAATTTTTCATCCGATATTCATACAATCGGCTATCTCCGACTGTCCTATACTGACCGAAAGAGGAACACGGAAAATGATGAATTTGTGCTCGGGATCCAAACGACAGGTCAGAAGACCATCCGGTTGCAATCCGACCCGCTTCCAACTGACCAAGTGGCCACCCTACTTTTTGTTGCAAACGCTGATCAGAGTGGGGATTATCTCCACGTGTATTTGGTGAGTGTGGTTTGACAGGCATGGTTGTTTACTTCAAGCATGTATTGATATGAGTAACGTCCATGCGATATGTGCCAATCTGTCACCTAGGTGCTTGTACGTCATGTTCCAATCAGGGGTAGTGTGCATCGCTCTGTCAGATTTCTAGCTACTGACGCGTGTTCAGGTTTGGACCACAAACAGAGCAACTGTCACTAAACTGGTCGTCCGTCTTATCAAACACTTCTAAAACCACGAGCACCATGAGAGCTAAGACATAATCTAAAATTGTTTGGCTGTCCCGCTGAACTGCTTATCGTCTAAATGTCATATACGCACCGTCGCCCAACAACCAGCCCCTTATGCGAACTTTTTGACCACTTGCGTCAATGAAGGACATACTTTGTCCTTGTCATTGTATCATCCGTTATTTCAAATGGGTTACTTTGGTTGCCGAGGCTTGTGAGTTTTCACGACCTAATCGGATCATCGATGTACGAAGAACTAGGTTTTGCTATTAATCATTCTTCACGCATCGCACTCTATTCCCGGTGGAATTCCTAGGCATGGCATTTTGCAAGTCCTAATTAGCATTGAGATTAGCGCTAGCCTATTTGGAATACTCGTTCACGTCTCTGTAGCTCTTCAATTGTTGTCACTTTTTTTCAGCCAACGTTCTTTCCTCCACTGACAAAGCTTTTGCAGACATTTTCAGTCGAGATCGTGTGTAATTCTGGTCGGAAACGGAGAGGATGTGTTCCGAGGAAAATGCGATCTGTTCAGAGTGTGATTGGGCGAAGTGAAGGTGGAAAATAGTGAAAAATCTGTCAACTCCCAAAAACGGCACCAGGCTTCAATTGACTTGACTGTTTTCAGAGTCTTATCCACTCACCACAGCAACCACATCACCATTGGGCTGGTGAGGACGCTGTGAAGTGAGGTAGTGGATGTTCAAAGTTAGAAGATGACCAAACATCAGCCATCATAAGAAACCTACAGGCAAATGGACCGACAACCTGGTGCCAGTTTGGGGAAATGCGACTCCTAAAGACTGAGATAAGAGCTCCTGACAAAGTTTGTCTAATTCTCACGGAAGTTAAGCTAGACCGTATTGACTGACCATACTAGAAATAACTAGATAGGACATAAGCATTGTTGAGGGCTGGTCTGCACTTGTTCATATCAAAGGGCTGAATCACTCCGTTCCGGTCCAGTGCCTTCGGTCTAGAGACTAAACCATTAGTTGCGTCTCACCTGTGACCGACACCCATAGCTGAAACTAAAAGATAAACAGACGAACAGAATAACAGCAGTTCAAACAAAGGTCTTGGAGTGACAAACCATGCAGAGTCAGTTACGGCGAACTCCCCCTGTCCGTGAACTCAGATTGGCCAGTGGACCTAGGTGAGTATCGCGTCGTGAGCTTCAACCTGGTGATTAGACCTCATCAATACAAGGTCCCACTTAGCACCACAAGCAACCAGAAAATGAGCGAAAGATTCCGTATAGATGATCTATTTTCAGCTGCTTTGGACTTTGTGAAAAGTGTTCCTCTTCTATATTCGTAATGCACTACTCATAAGGTTGCTGAAAATTTGTCGACAGCCCCCGACCGGTTTCGGCCTTCTTGGAGCTCATCAGATAGCCACAGTCCCCGAGTTTCCGTCAACCTCATGTTCTACTTGAAATCAAAGTTCCCGAAATTGGCGAACCACATTCATTTGCAAACTAATTTGGTTTTGCGAGAGACTCAACTTGGTTCCACGTGAGTAGCAAAACAAGGATGAGGTGCAAATGAAAGAGACCTGTGAAAGACGGGCATATGGCCATTTTTATGGCTACAGCATATTATTACTCTATGTGTAGCAAGTTGGCTAACATTTATTTCCACGTCACCAACACAAGCGTGAAAATTGAACTAACCGTGCATTCCATCAAGTGAAGTGTTTAACTGGAGTTGCCATTGTAACAACGACGACTTGGTTCTCACAACACACTTTAGTTGCTATGGCAACCGCGAGTTAACTGAACGCATTGTGTAACCACTTTGGAATTACCGGTATTCCAAAACGACCAGTGATTAATGACAGTAGACTATCCTTGCTGCAAAGGCAACTTTAAAGGTTTCGGTCGTGGGGTTTTATCGCATCTCGGGTCGCTAACACACAAATCAAAAGATGAAGTTAGCAAATCGCTCACTCAGTTCTTCTCTGTGGGTGGAACTGATCTCATTGTACAAACATTTAATATGATAAGTCGATATCACATTTCAATTCATTGAGTTTCAATCTCAGCCAAGGCTACTCATGTCAAATGCATTCACTTTAAAAAAAACATCCTCTGGTTGATTCTTCTCAGCGTGTGGACAAATGTTTTTTTATCCTCGTTATTTTTTTTCAAGATAGGCATGTGACTGATAGATAAACCGGATGTCTGGAATCAGGGATTTTATGGCACACCGACTATTTAAACAAATATTTGAAAAAAGCTTTTTTTCGGAACATGCTTTGGAAAACTTCTCGGCGCACAATTACTTTGACTGGTCAATAGAACAACAGAACCTGGTGGTCGTTTATCGAGCTGGTGTTTCGCAAAATTTTCACGATCATTATTACGCCGTGTGAGCTGAATTCAATGTGTCTAGCAGTTGGTCAAGGTGTTTCGCAAAATTTCACGATCATTATTACGCCGTGTGAGCTGAATTCAATGTGTCTAGCAGTTGGTCAAGAATTATCGATCTGACTAATTTAACTCACGTTGTCCGCTCAGAATAGTTGCAGTCTAATAACCCCTCCCCCTAAGGGAGACCATCCTGCGGAAGATACATGGTGACGTACCATGAATTGAGTCAAGAGATATCACAGCAAACTCTATTACCTCGACGGTTTTTAAAACACCGCCACAAAACTTTGTGTCACCGCTGAAAAAAAGTAAACAATCAATGGGACTGGAATCTAAAGACTGGCGATTTGTTTATTGATCTGCATAAACGTGTCCATTTCTATTCCTGCATTTTAAGTGGTTCAGCCATAATAAGACTGTTTACTAAGCCTGTAAGTAGATAGACCACGATTACCTAATTTTCACAGTTTGGAATGAGTTTCACGCTTGCTTTCCAAAAACTCACAGAATTCCGGCTATCTGACACTTGATTATGACCTCGGTGGCGGGTTGATTCGGGTACTGGGTCCAAAAATCCAACTCAACGATGGCTACTATCATCGTATTCGCGGATTTCGAACACGTTTCCGTCTTGTTTTGGAGGTCGATAATCACACCACAACGCACAACTTACAAGGTGAGTTTTTCGTAATTCCTGAATGCTTTCTGGGACAGTGCAACTTAGTTCATCACGTAACTGTTCTGAGACTGCGACCGGAAGGAAGTCACGTTAGTAGCCAACTACGCTGAAACACGACCAAGAGTGTTGGGAATTCTCGCGCCCATTGCTCGTGTTAAAACTCCTGAAAAAGAGAGTAAAAAGGACAGGATTAACTAAGCAACAACTGTGTGTGTTTGTGTGCAAGGATTCTGCTCTGGTTCGAGAACAGCCAACAACGGACTCATTCATTTTCTTGTAACTTTCTGCATCTACTGATGTCGTGAAATATTACCGTTTATGGCAGGTCTTGATAACACCGTTGAACTTTTATGACTGAGCGGGATCACCATTGGAACATTTGAGGTCAAGGAGGATAAATCATTTGGAAAACTTACTGAAGGTCACGTCACCTTAATTAGTGTGGCCATTCAAACTGATTAGTAGTATCGTGCGAACTGAAAAAAAGATCAAACTGGAAAAGCCGAGAAGCACTGTGAGGCTAATTGCCCCTTGTCGGGAACTATCAACCTCATTGGTTGTTGATCTGTTCGCCGAGCTTGGCAATTGGCTCGCAAACGTTTCGTCAACATACAAGGAGACATCATCAGTGCGCAGTTGGATGGGTACTTCTTGCTTGCTTGCGTGCGTTTACATAGCCTTCGAAGGCTATCTGTCATCTTCTGACGCGATTGGCAACTTGAAGTGTAACGAATTTAGTAAATCTATTGGTCCGTTCGTGATCTTTGTTGCGTTGTGGTCTGTGTTCCTTTGTGTTGATGGGTTATCCCAACGCCCTCTAAGTTTGGTAGCTTGTTTTCTCTGGCTTTGATTCGGATTGCGTTGTGGTCTGCTGTTCTCGAGTTTGATTGGTTGCAACCAACCACCCGAGCTACCAATATTTCACCACATTACCAAATATCAACCCCAGGAATTCACATGGGCATCCGAAGACGCGAACTCTCTCTTGATCACTGATGGTAGACAGGCAGAACAGCAGGCCATTCATGGGTAATGTGTTGAAAAATCGGTAGCGCACACTGATGAGGTCTCCTCGTATGGAGTTGAAACGTTTGCAAGCCAGTTGCCAAGCTCGGCGAACAGATCAACAGCCACTAGGTCAGCGCCATTCATTCTTCACTCACGAGATTCCTCTTGCAAGATCATGAGTTGACCGGTTTCTTGGGTGAAGGCTGCTCGTTTGGAAGGTCCGGTTGACAAATGAATTTTCCCTCCTTTTTGGCTACTTGTGGTTTTTCTACAGTATGAGATTTGGCGAAATTTTCGAGTAAGTTCTCGTCCTGCGGTATTTCTCAATAAGCTAACAAGAATCTAAGAGCTATATATTGATTCTAGACTTTCTAAACAGCCTGAGTTCACTTACGCGACAGAATCGGGGTTAAAATCTCCAAATTTTTGGCGTCTTCAGCAGACTGAACACCACTAACTAATCGATAAAGAAATCATAAAATGAACATAGATCCTTTGACTCTTTATCGTTTTCCATTACACTGAATTGTATTCTCAAACTAATACGCTTCTCAGGACGGTCAGAATATGATTCCAGAATGATCACATGTTCACAGTAACTAAGACTAGTTTCATGCGCGTTAATCTTTCAATTATTATCAGTGTTATTATCAGTGTTACGCTATACTACTGATGAAGCAGGCAAGTAGCATCTGGTCCGGCATCCAAGTTCCGCTCCGCTTCTGATGGAAGGTGAAAATCACTAGAGAACTTATGGAACCGCTTTGCAGCGTTCGTTCTTTGTTGTCAATTATTCAAAAAACGTCCCGGAAAGTTCAAGAGGACGCTCAAGAATGTTCGCTTTTCAAATATTCTGTGCAAACAAAAATTTTAATTTTTGTTCACACTGAAACGCACAGGTCATAGTAGCCTTGCTTTTTGAAACGCTGAATTCTGTGGCGGCATAATTCTCTCTACCATATGTTTTACACCCCTCTCAAAGGACTTTAACCAAGCTCCTTTGAACAGCATGTTCATTTGAGCACTTCAACCAAGCAAATGGCTTCAAGTTTAAGGAGATCAGAGGCCAAAATCCCGCTAAGTCGCTTTCACAAACGTCTGCAGAATTTTCAACATCAGGTCACTCGATTTGTGGATCGTAGAAAGTGTAGCAACGCAGAAAAGCTGCCCAGAAAACTGTCGGAGACCTTTGGATTTCGTGTGGAAATGTGATCAGACTTAGGTGTTCATCGTACCTCGATGTAAATGGAGACAAAAACTCTGAAGCAAAGAGAAGACACACCACACGAAATGGGAGTTGTACCTGGAGAGAATATGATTTATAACGTTGCGATTCTGAAGCGCATGTACCTTATAACCACTCCTTTTGTCAATAATTTTCAGTTCGTTTTGGGAGACAGTTCAACGACCAGGAGACCATTTGGCTTGGACATGCGGCAACTTTGAACAAGACAGACTTTTACCAAGGATATATAATAGGTACGTTACGGAGCTTTAATGCAATAAGACTTGTTTTGTTACTCATGACTATGTGAATATGATACAGTGTACGCAGTATTTTTAAAGTTACTGACTACTTTTCCAAAAAGCCTACCATTCCTGACTCTGGAAATTCGGGCTTCCAACAAGTAACCCGAAAATACTAGAACTGAAAGTGTCGCACCGGATGTTGTGAAACGACGCTAAAGCCAAAGCAAGTCTAGTGCAGACCGGGAACTTCATCCCTAAAAGAAATTGTTTTTACATCCAAGGAAGCACAGAGCTTTTTTGAAATTAATTCACGATTTTTGAGCTGCATCTCCTGACTGTTTGAAAGGTGCGATTCCCACTACTTATCAGACTGTCTGGTTGTAGGCTCTCAACCAGCGCACTAAATAAATAAATATAAATAAATCAATGTCGTATAGCGTGCTTCGTTGAGGACTTGAAGCTGTCCAACAGCTTATAAATGACTAGACTAGTTTGAATTCGTTCAGTGTGTGCCGATGTAGTGCTTTGCGTGTCACGTGACCAGGGTTTAAATCCCAGTACAGTCGGTGATATGTATTCCTGGCAAACTCTAAGTAAGGCAAAGATCAAAACCAGTTTTCTATCGATTCTGTGAGTTATACTTAGAATAGTCATGCGGGGACGGAATGAAGACTGCTCAGACGAGAGAATGTCAGTACAAACTTTACGAATCTGTGAGTGCTCATTACTAAGTAGATGAGTTGTTCACACGAGAGCAGAGCAACAGTCACAATTTTATGCAGGTTTTCCTGGTACGATTTTGTTTCTTATTAGGGGGATTATTCTAAAAAGTTAACTTGTCAGGACGTTAGTTCAAACTCAGGGTTTTCTTCACAGAGTTATGTGTTTTGTGTCAAAACATTTTACGTCTACTGTTGACTAACTAACAAGTATTGGATTCAACAGTTTCGACCCGCCCGCTAGTCATTCCGTTGTCTCCGTACGCCCAGTATGTATGGAAATTTAATCTCTTTCGTAGACCAGAAGCACCGCGTAACTGTTCCATCCTTATTGAGCATCCGACGGAACTCCAGGGCGTCTTGTACCCGCGACTTCCAGGCCACTAGACTGGACACAACCGTTCGGCCACGAGCGGCAGCGCACCATAACACGAATTTCTCCGACTTTACGATATTTCTGATGTTGAATGGTGCTCATCCTAGTTAAACCAAGTGCGATTCATCACAGCGTTGATAACCCGTTCTTGACGGACCGGTTAGGAGTTCAAGCGAATAGCTGGAATGTCACGGTTCCGAGAATCTCCGAGGTTGGAACGACCGTATAATGATTCTCGGCTTTTATGCATAGATTTTCTTCATTTGTTTCTAGGACATAAGTGTCTGTCGACTGCTAAACAGGTTCACCGTGTTACACTGAAAAATGTGAGGCGGTGGAAATCGCCAAGCAACACCTGGTGCGCAGTTTTGTTTTTTTTCACATGTGTGAAATTCAACCTCACATGAATTCTGCTTGCTGGAGATTTAAAAAGCTGTCGCTAACCCACAATTCAGCAACAATGGTATGGTTATGCAATGAGCTTTGGTGCTGATAATACAGCAATGAACACAGCGAGGCAAGAGCAGCCTCGAAACATTTGTTGCCGGACACAATGAGCTTTCTTGATAGGGACTTGGGTATCCTCGGTGATTTTTGGCTGTGTCCTTTAGAATTATGGCCTTGGAAGCAGACATCTTGGGTAAAGACAAAGCCAAGAGTCATCCTCATATCAAACTGCTGTCCACTTTATTTTGACTGAATGTACTATTTTCTGGGTGACCGAAGACACTTTGTTAGCCCAAAAACAGGTTTGTCATTCCTGAGGCTCATTGGCTGGGCGCGACTACCAAGCTTTTTTGAATTCGTTGACGGAAACTCGGGAAATGTGCCTACCTGATGAGCCCAAAGTGGAAGGGCGAAACAGGTCGTGGGCTGTCAAAGAGTTTTCAGCAACCTTGTGAGTAGTTTCCTCTATGAAGATATACTGCGATATCTCGAACATCGTGCCAACTGAATCATGAGGGGCCTGTGTGCAGCGCATTCAGCTGGAGGACATCATAAACGAGAGATTCAATTGAGTCTCCCGTGGAAACCAAATTGATTTGCAAATGAGTGTATTTCTCGAGAACAGTCCAATAGAACATAAGGTTGACGAAAACTCGGGGACTGCGCCCACCTGATGAGTCCGAAGTGGAAGGGCGAAACCGGTCGTGGGCTGTCGGAGAGTTTTCAGCAACCTTGTGAGTAGCTTCCTTTATGACAAAAAACAATGTGTTCAAAAGTTGGGAAGCACTATACCGCCGTTTCACTCTTATTGGGAATTACTAGCAGTGCTCATATCGCGAAACCCCATGAAGTGTCCAATTAAAGATTTGACCGTTTGACCAAGAGGTGCTGACCAACAGATCAGACTCGAATCTCAAACCGATTTTCAAGTCTCTTCATACGGAAACAGTGCTTTCAAACGAATACATTATGAGCATTTATAATACCTTGACTTGATCAGATACATGCATAATTTTGATGGAAGATTTCCGATAATTTATCCAATTATTCTTCGAACTTAATCCTTGCTTGACGCGGGAGTACCGTTATTGCTCTTTTCCCAGGAGTTGGTCTGTCACCCCATCACTGCTCTAGGTAAAAAAGTCTTCGTTCCTTTTGTAATGTACTACTCATAAGGTTGCTAAAAACTCCTCGACAGCCCAAGACTGGTTTTGCCCTCCTTGGAGCTCATCAGGTAGGCGCAGTCCCCGAGTTTCCGTCAACTTTAGTTCCACTTGAAACCAGAGTGAACGAAATCAGCGAAGTACACTCAGTTGCAAACTAATTTCAGCGACCTTATGAGTAGTGCACTACAAAAATACATATGTATCGCGATATCTCGAATATCGCAGCAACTGAAGCATGAGGCGGCCTGGTGCAGCACATTCAGTTGCCTGGAAACATCGAAACCGAGAGATTCAGCTGGGTTCCAGATGAGTCTTTCGAAAAACCAAATTAGTTTCCGATTGAGTGTATTTCGCTGAATTATTCGTTCTTTCTATACCAAAAAGAACCTCTAACGCTTTAATTAGGTAACATCACGCATCCTAATTCCGTCGAAATTTAGTCGAAGTTTGGCGTATTTCTGGTCAGACGCATTATCTTTTAATCTCCCTCCAAAAAATACCTACCACACGAAAAGTGTTTTTTTCGATATCCATTGGGCCTACTTTGGGAACAATTAATAGGGCGCAAAGACAGTGTATCGGCGGGGGGGGGGTCAGTGAGAACTTCCAGATGCGGGTTTTAAAAGAACAATTTTGTTTCCCCAACTGACGCGCCGAGCAGCTTTTCC